ATTCCCCTGAGTGCCTCCAACGGCGACAGGGGCACACTGAAAGGATCTATGGTACCGATAGGGGCATGATGCAAATTTGATGTACATCAGGTAGGGGCACTACGAAAACATATGAGGCCCAAAAGACACCAGGGTTTTATGGAAAATTTGACTTCTAGTCAGAAGGGCGCAACAGGGTAAATCGGCTATCGGAGGGGGGCGGCTCAAATTGATGGAAAATACAGGGGCTCAAGACAAATTTTCCCTTTTGTTTTTGTTTTGTTTCTCAAAAAATACTTTTCCCTATCCCACTATGAACTTTTACCAAAAAGTAGTAAAAGTCCCTTGAAAGTCGGAGAAGTGCCCAAGGTTTCGTAGGGAAAAAGTGGGATCCCATAGGCCTGGACTTCTTGGCGCTTTCCCGATTGCGTCGCCGAAGTTCGATGGCCGTCCACGGGTCCAACGGAGACACCCGGTCTCCCTTTGTGCAAAAGAAAGACTGCCTTCACAAAACAAAACAAAAAAAAAAAAACCGAAAACTTGCCTACTTTTTGGGGGAAGGGTAGGGGGTCACGGGCTTTGGATGGCCGTGCACGGGACACCCGGTCTCCCTTTGTGCAAAAGAAAGACCGCCTTCACAAAACAAAAACAAAAACAAAAAAACCGAAAACTTGCCTACTTTTTAGGGGAAGGGTAGGGGGTCACGGGCTCCCTACCGTTTCCTACCAACTTCGCCCCGCGGGTCAAGGCCGTGGCGACACACAAAATTCCATGAGTAGAAACAGGCATTTTCTGTTGCACTGCCGTCGGACCAGGAAGTTGGGGAAACCATATGGGATCCCCTTTTTTTCCAAAAAGCTCTGCTACTAATAACTGTGGGATCAGGTACTAAGATGCCCCTGTTGTTTCAAGAAGTGGTCTTTTGAACGGGTAGTTTCGTGGTCTGCCACCTGGAAGGGTTTTATGGGGCTAGGACTCTTCTTTGTAGGGTCTTTGTCTTGTTCTCCTGGGAAGCTTCTCTGGTCAGCTGTTCTCTCGGTATGTGGTCCTTTTCCTGGTCTGAAGCGGAGGCTTCTGGAAGGTTCTTCAGTCCCATCATTTCGCTTGGCTTCTGGCTTTCCTTTTGTATCCATCTCGACCCAAACGGGGAAAAAGGTGCCTCAGGCCCGAAAATCAGTTTAGGCGTCATTTTTGCACCCTGCAAAACACTTTCCCGCCATTTCTACACAGCGGCAGTTACCCGCCCAGCCAGGGTGCAAAAATGACACCGAAAGGGATTTCGGGACTTGCGGCACTTCTTTCCCCTTGTGGAGGGAAATGGATACAAGGGTTTCGTCGCGGGGAGGTACTACGACTTTTCCCATGAAAGGGAAATAACCTTAAAAAATACTTTGTATTTCGGGGAAATCGTTTCCCTGAAGAAGAAAAACAACTTTGCAGTCCTAAGGGCCTAGTTGCACCACTTGGCATCTGCTGAACTTTCCAGTCCTAACGACAGAGAGTCAGGTTACTCGTGATGCCACCTCACCCTTGGGGCACGGGAGTGTGAGCGCGCGGCATTTCAGCAGAACAAGGCCTTGAGCAAGTCTGCCGTCCTGTGGGGGCCGACTTGGGACTTCGACGACTTCCGTATAAAATAAGCAGGCGAATGCAGGGAGCTTATGCACTCTCCCGCCGAGGTCTTGGGTGAATCAGCTGCTTCATCTCGGCATGCGCAGCATCTGAAAGACGAGTGAAAGAGTGTTTGCGGGGTACAAGTTCTGCAACTCGGATAGCTCTGCAAAGGTGAGCGGCCCGGGGAGCCTGCACTGATTGATGCTGTCGTGTTTGAGGCTGGCTGCCTTCACGTGTGTGTCATCTGGTATCAACATGACCTTGAGGTCCATCTCTCTCTCTCTCTCTCTCTCTCTCTCTCTCTCTCTCTCTCTCTCTCTCTCTCTCTCTCTTTTATGGTGAACCTTCGGATGTATCTCTCTCTCTCTCTCTCTCTCTCTCTCTCTCTCTCTCTCTCTCTCTCTCTCTCTCTCTCTCTCTCTCTCTTTTCACGTGTGTGTCATCTGGTATCAACATGACCTTGAGGTCCATCTCTCTCTCTCTCTCTCTCTCTCGCTTGAGGCTGGCTGCCTTTACGTGCGTGTCATCTGGTTTCAACTGGACATTGAGATACACGTCTCTCTCTCTCTCTCTCTCTCTCTCTCTCTCTCTCTCTCTCTCTCTCTCTCTCTCTCTCTCTCTCTCTNTGTGTGTGTGTGTGTGTGTGTGTGCGTGTGTGTCTATGGTCGTGCATGAGAGCGCGCACGGATCGTTGGTCTCCCGAAATCCTTTTGGCATATTGGCATTCACGGGAGCTAAGCACTTCTTTGTTCCTCTGTGTCTCTAGATGTACTAGGTCTTTACCTTCTCTGGTGTCGCTTGTCTGACCGCTCGACGGTGTTTGTTGCTGTTGTCCTTTCAAATTGATGTTTTGTCTGACAGCGTAATGATACCGTGTATGAATATGATGCAGTTGAATGAATGCAAATGGCAATTTCTTTTGGACCCATCCATTTTTTTCTTTTCGTTCTTCTTTCAAGGGAGGTTAAGTGAGGTTCAGTCACCGCGTCTTGCACGGCAAAAAAATTCGGCCAGTTTGAAAAAGGCGGTTCAGGCACGGCACTACTTTCCAAAACGGGTGTCAGGTTTTTTGCATGCAGAGGGGAGTGGTGTTCGGACTTCCGTTGCAGCGCACCTGTGCCATGCACCATACCAGGGCGCAGTGCGCCCATCTGCTATGGGCGCACACCTGTGTGCACCGTGTGCGCCTTGCGCACGTGCGCCGTCCTCATTTTCATGCACGCGCACTCTCTTTTTTTTTTTTCCAGTGGGTGGGGCTGTTGTCAGCAGTGTGTGCGAGGAGGTGCAATAGCTGATGATTTGACCATTGCCTGCGTTAATGAACCAGCGGCCCTCAATGAACTAAGAGGAGTTCTGGAAGATTACTGTTCTCTCTCAGAGGCCTCAATTAACTTGGAAAAATCAGTCTATCTTCTACCCCCCATGTCTATCTCTCATAGGAGTTTTGGACTTATTTGAACCAGGTCTTTCTTTGCCCGTGCATTTTTTTTTTTTTGCCTTTTCGAACTCAAAACGAAACTCAAAACATGAATATAGAGCGTCGCCACACCACTCCCGACTTAAGAAAAGATTTTGGGAGTACTCCTGAAGGTCAGAAGACCCGAAGTCCATTTGGGAGTCACTGTGTGCTTTGCCACACTGCACTCTCGATTTGGAGCGCTCTCCCATTTGAAGGCCAGGAGGCGCACATCAGAGAGAGAGAGTGCCTCGCCACACCACTCTCAAAATGTGAAAAAGACAAAACTGTGGCGGGTGCATCTGGCCGTGTTCTACCAGAATGTTCATTCTCATTTTGCAAATTTCGAGAGTGGTGTAGCGATGCCCAGAGACTGCCCAGCCCAGCCCAGTATTATGGCGACGAAAACTGTGAGGAGAATGCCCAGTCTGTGGGCACGAGTTCTCCTGGCAAAACACAGCCTGAGGCCTCGGCGAGAGGTCTCCCTAAAATGGCCATTTTTTTTAATTATTTTTTAAAAATTTTTAAATGGCCTTTTCGGGAGTGCTCTCGAATGCAAATTTCTGACTGGTGCCGAATGCAATCGTTTCGGGAGTGCTCTCGAATGCAGATTTTTTTTTTTTTTTTTTTTGCTGCCGGGCGGAAGTCCCAAGCTGTTTGGGGAGTGTGTGCTCTCGAATGGAAATTTCAGACTGCTGCAGAATGCATTCTGACATATCCAAGTCAGGAGGGGATCTGGCGACGACCCACTCCCGAAAATGGCCTTTTTTTACCCCGAGTCGGCGAGTCGGGAGTAGTGTGATGGCGGACCATAAAGTTAACACGATTGTTTATTTTTTTCAGTATATCTGACAAAGATAGAGCCCAAAACGTGACATAAAAGCAATTGTTTATTTTTTCAATTTATTATATCTGACAAAGACAGAGCCCTCATAGTCAGTAATTCACGGGAATCATTCTTGTCTTGAGCAGAACGCATCCTCAGCATCATTCTTTTCGATTGGGGTTGGTCACTCATGATCCCTCTATTATAATTGTATCTGCTCTCGCGACTGTGACATGCCATTGCAGGGAGTTGTTCCCGACGTGTCTTTTCTCCGCCGTCGGACGAGGATCATCCTTCCATTGCAGGAAGAAGACAAAGGCAAGCGGGCCAGCCATGAAGCCGTCCATGGGAATGGCAGCCCTCGCGGCAGTTGCGTTCCTGTTGCTGGTTGCATTATACCAGCCCACGGTTGAGGGTGCTTATCTGTGCAACCCCGGTAAAGATCAGAATGCATATACGTACAAGAAAATCAACTGCCTGAAAGTGGCCGGTGCGGTAAGCTATGAGGGGTGCAGAGACACGTGTGGGGGCGAGTACAAATGCAAAGGCTTTGTCCATGCGGCATACGATTGGTCCAAGGGCAAGTACTGCTGCTTCCTCAAGTCCAAGATCGACGAAAGCAAATTTCGGCCTCAGGCTGGTCGCGAAACTTGCAGGAAGTTAGACTATTAAGACCGATTCCTCCAAGTTCGTTCCCTTGCCTGCGGTTTCGCTCGCAGGTTGGTAGACAGCGACAGTGCAAGAGGGAGTTTTGAAAGTCTACTGCCAGGCATGTCTCAGTTCATATGTTGCTAGGATTTCCACCTCCGAACGTCCACTTCCCACTCAGCTAGAGCGGAACCAGGACAGGATTTACATTTCTTTAAGTATGGTACTCGATGACTGCCTCTGAGGTCCCTTGCCTCGTGAAATTATTCCAGACCACCAGGCTCCAGGCCCTCATATGTTACTGAGTTCGATGCATCATCATCATCATCATCATCATCATCATCATCCTGATCCTCATCATCATCATCATCATCATCATCCTGATCCTCATCATCATCATCATCATCATCATCCTGATCCTCATCATCATCATCATCATCATCATCATCATCATCATCATCGTCAAAGATTCGTCGTCATTATCATCATCGTGACCATCACATTTCTGCCAAGGGCATATTAAGAACTAGGCCAGTGGACTTCGTTGCACTGAAAACACGATGTGGTCTGTAATTCTCTCTCAGAAGTATGGCTCGCCGGCTCGGCCCTCGCAAAGATCCAAGGAATGGCATTTAATTTGATTGTTGTATGAGACTTTGAGTGTTCTAGACTCTCCCCAGCACTGCTCTCCACTCAGTCTGGTGAGCTTACAATGGAGTAAACYGTGTCTGTGTTTATCCAGAGTGCAGAMGACTGGTCAAGTATGTGGTGTCACTGATGTAATCATAGCTACTTATTATTACTTAATGTGCGTGCAGCTTTGTAGTGCCAGAGATTAATTGCCTTGAAGTCTGCGGCCACTATCCTCCTCCCTGTCTTCCTTTTTAACCGATGGCCTCATATTCTCCTCTCTCTTGTCGTGTCTTCTCTTCTCTTCTCTTMTCTTATCTTATCTTAAATTTCTTTTTTTTTTTCCTTTTTTCTTTTTTAAGTTTGTTTGTTTGTTTGTTTGTTTGTTTGTTTTCTTTTCTTTTTGTTTGTTATAAAACGAAACGCGGTCCGCGCGTGACGCTCCCACCGGGCCCACGAAAAATCGTGTCGAGGAGCTCCGCGCGGGGTGCCACAGGGGACCGAGGAGTAGAACGGAGGTGTCGTGCGGGAGTATAGGGGCACCCCGGTTCGTGGGGAAAAGAGGCAGAGGCCCGGGGCGCGTCAGTCCCGTTGGTTCGCGGGGAAAGTTCCAGACAGGACACGTCCGATTATGCTTTGATCAGGGCTGAGTAGGGTAAACTCGGCTCGGCTTAGCCCTAATACGTTCAGTTCAACCGCTGGCGGGGGAGCACGCAGAGAGGCTATGTAACTGGGTGAACGCTCGTTCACGTTCAAACTTGCGCGTGCATACCCCCGAGGGCCTCGTTCATTCGCGTTCAAACGCGCTGCGCGCCAGGTGGCACGAAAAAACTGAACGCGACCCCGGGGGGCACACGCGCGCATTATGGACTACGAGGTGGTGGACCTCGTTCTAAGAATCCCAAAACTGCAAAAATAAAAAAAAAACAGAGGCCTACCCCCCCCTACCGCATCACCCCCACCATGTGTGAAAATTCCTTCTTTTTTTTTTTTTTTGGAGTGGGTGAGGGAATCCCCCTAACACAGCTCAGATAGCCCATGCAAGCTATCTGAAAGGTCCATGCAGACATGTTGTGCAGACCCCCTCACCAAAATCGAGGCAGGCAGTGAATCTGAAATTGAGAGCATGAGCTGGCCCAATATATACTCAAGATTCGAATTCCGGTCTGTGTTTGAAGTGCTTCAGCAGTTATGGGTTGCTCACGTAGCTAGGGCCTATTGGTCACTGCACGTGACTCTTAGGGCTTGGCTGCACTACTCAGTGTGTGCTAAGTTAGAATGAATCTTCTGCAGAACGTGGAATAATACGCCATCGTTTTAATTTTTTCTTGTTTTTCTTTTTTTTCATTTTTCATTTTTCTTGTTGTTCTTTTTTTCTTGTTTTTCTTTTCATAGGAAAACGTGCAGTGGCCCTTAGGGCCTTTACTAAGTTAGAATGAATCTTCTGCAGAACGTGGAATAATACGCCACCATATGTTTTGTCTTTTCTTGTTTTTCTTTTTTCTCATTTTTCATTTTTCTTTTTGTTCTTGTTTTCCCATTTTTCTTTCCTTAGGAATACGTGCAGTGGCCCTAAGGGCCTTTACTCACCAAATGAACAATTCCACATTCTGCAGAAGATACATTCTAACTTAGCACATTTCATGAGTAGTGCAGCCAAGCCCTAAGACTCACGTGCAGTGACCAACAGGCCCTAGCTACGTGAGCAACCCATAACTGCTGAAACACAGACCTGAAATTGAATGTTGAGTATAACTCAGGCCAGCTCGTGCTCTATGACATATTCACTGCTTGCCTCGACTTTGGTGGGGGGGTCTGCGCTACATGTTTGAGCGGACCCTCCAGATAGCCTGCATGGGCTATCTGAGTTGTGTTAGGGGGAGTACCCCACCCCCTCGAAAGAAAAAAGGACCTTACACACGCACGCTCGCACACATGTACGCACACACACACACACACAAACACAAATTCACATACACACACTGTTCTGTTTTTTTTTTTTTTTTTTTCCTGCTTTGCCTGGGGCTTTGGCCCACAGCCCCCCCCAACCACCGCCGCGGCTCCCCACGCTGCCCACAGCCACCCCAAGCACCGCTGCTGCTCCCCACACTGCCCAAAGCACCACCCCACCCCGCCCACCCCCCTGCGCAAACGCGTCAATCGCGTTCAGGGGCGTTCAGTGAACGCGCGTTCACTGCGTTCATAAACTGAAAGCGGAACGCATGTTCAATGCACGCGTGATAACGTAGCAGAGCAGTGTGCGTAGCGAATTGTTCACAGTGCGCTAGAAAACGAGAGGGCGCGCCCAGTGGGCCGGGCGGCGACAGGCGTAGATGCGAGGGAATATCTTGAGGCGGGTGCCGTTGGATAGCAAGAAATTGTCATTTTCTTTCATTCGGAATCTTTCCTTTTTTCCCCTCCGTTGGTTGGGAGTTCTTTTTAATTCAATCATCGTTCAGGGCCAGGTCTTCCAGCCTTTGGGTGGTACGAGTCCCAGAGGGTTGGAGCTGGGGCGGTTCCGATGGCTCCTTTCTATTGGTGGGGAGCTGCACCTGCTGGAAATGGGCTTCAGCGTCCCTTCCAATGGATAAATCTTGAGGTGACTCCTCAAAGTTCAGAAACTTTATAGGGCTGACAGCAAAAAAGGGAACTCTTCACCCTAAGGCGCCTGAGATGAGCCAGCTACTAGCCTACTAGTCCCACTCCCCACTGTGCCCAAATTTGAAAAAATGTTAATAACCAATTATGAGGATCAATGAATTATGCATGTAGCCCAATATCTGAAGACTAGGCACTAGATAAAGAACAACATGTCCTGAGCATAGTGGGGAGCTGCACCTGCTGGAAACTGGGTCCAGCGTCCCAGCCTCCCAGGTAACAACAAAGTTCTGAATTCATCATGGTCTACAGCTGCGGTGTGGCGCCCAACCTCACACCCAGCGCGACTTCCTGATCGGAGTGTGAGTGGGCCTGGAAGTGCGAAAAGCGTGTGCGCCAAGGATTTTAGGAAAGTGGGGGTGGAGTCCCAGGTCGAAACTGAGATCTCCTGTGGCAAGTTTCAGGGATAGGAATGCAAGAGGATAGGTGCGGGTCGAAGTCTGGGCGTGGGGCTACCGCCTTTGCTGGCTCCGTCGTCTGCGTCGGGCTCCTATTTGGTGCACCATAGGAACGTGATGGGTATCACGCTGTCCAATCACTTGTTGGCGTCGTCTGTTGCTGGTCTCAGAATCCGACGTGGCTGGCCTTAGTAGAAGGTTGTGCGCTCGTCGTTCTTCCTCCGAGCGGGTTCGCCGGATGAAGTCGGACGCTCGGTACTCGTGATCTTGCACGCACTCCGAGCACGGGGGTTGGGGCCAATACGGAGCGACTGCACGCCAAGGGATGATGGTCAGCGAATGGAAGGGCAGTATGCAGTGGTAGGTATGGAAGTTGAATTCCAGAATAATTACTCTCGGTTCCGTAATAAGGTGGCACGTGTACGAGCTAGGGAATTCAGGGTGGTGGGGAATGCGTTTGTGAGCTCGGTCGATATCCCACTCACAGATACGTTCATTTCCCACCGGGTAGGTACATTCAGGAAGTTCTCCCCTCGGTCGTGCAGACAAAGATGGGCGCTCCCAATACTCCCGAATTCCGGATACCTCAGACACTTGCAGTCAATAATACGAAAAGGGAGTTCAATATTCACGTTGTGGGGTGTGGTGGAAACTCAGTCATTCAGGAGGTTAGTCGAGTTCGGGTTTCGCAGACGCGCGAGTAGGCAGCGATCGTTTTGATCGGGCTTACTTGTGCGTGCGCGGAGCGTGTCCTCGATTGGGTAGGTGAAAACCAGCGAGACATGTGATGGGTCGTTTTTCTAGAGATGGTCATCCATCATGCCTACCTTCTTCATACACAGAAAGAATTGCGCCTATCTATCAAACTATCATCCATGCAACTAGCTTGCATACAACCAGAAAGGATAGAGGATCATGCAACAATTCTTTTGGCCAATCATCCTAGAGATTACACACAAGCCCTGATTTCTGGCAATCAATCAATCAGATTTGCCAATTCAAAAAGACAAAAAGTGGGGGAAGACAACCATACATCAATCTCCAAAAAGAACCAAAGGAAAAATCCGAGAAACCGATTCAGAAGGGACAAGGGTGTCTTGCGCCGGATACCAAAAATTGCTCAGAAGGATAGAAGAAGTGTCAAAATTACTTAGAAGAACGGACGAAAAAGCTCAGCGTACACCTCCCGTTTCTCTCTTTCTCTCTCTCTTCTACAACATCCTGATGCGGGCAGTCCGTCGCCTCGCATCTATACCGAGTTGTCACCCCGCTTAGTCCAAGTATGCCTGTCAGGTTCGCCTGTGTGCCAGAGTCTAACGCGGCCTCACGTCAACCCCGCACGCGCAGCACCTGCTCGTCGGATCGCCCAACTCTCTACTCACCTGCCAACTCCTGCTCGTAAGCCGATCCTCTCGACCTCGCTAACTCCAAAATTCTTAGAGAGGGAATTAATCGCGCTTACGAAATTTATAGCATGCATACTCTGCGCGAGATACTCGGGATGGTGTTTTAGGTGGGAGGAGGAAGAAAATGCCTACGTCTGCATGGCCAAGCCACGACGTGGGGTACGTAGCAACACTCCACACATAGATCTGGTCATGCAGGTGTTCAGACCGATAGTACGTGTGCGGGGGCGCCACAAAAGATTTCAAGAGCGAGAGGATTACAGTTGCAATTATTCCCGCCAAAACAAGAATTACAGTTACACACAAGGATTAAGGCGTGGAAATTAGAGCGTGAATCCTGACGTGGCAAGGCGTGTGCAAGTAAGAAGCATTGCGCAACAAAAATTGAGGTGCGCCCAAATTCCTAATCTAAATCCTAAATCAAAAAGAAATTCCAAACGAAGCAACTTACGAGAGCCCGCAGGGGCTCAACATCAATTGAAAATTAAAAAAGATTTTCCCGCGCGACGATCGCGCCAAACTTTTCATTCCCCACAACAGAACAAGAAAGAAGGTATGTCAACAGTTATCTTTCACGCTCGCTGAGGCACGATCGGCTACCAACCGTGACAAGATTACCCTGGTAAAAAAAAAAAGGAAAACAAGGAAAGCAATGACACCCATGCAATTCCCTAGG